GGGCTGATCACTATGGCCTTTATCTTTATTGTGCTTCCTCCTACGTTCATAAACCCATTTTAGGGGTCCAACAACACCTCCCCCTCCAACAATCACCTTGTCCTCAAGGTGAAAATTTGGAAACAACTCTTGCAATTCCTCCATGTCTTCCCATGACCACTCACATTCAGGCAGGTTGGCCCATTCCACCAACACTTCAATCTTCCCATTCAGAAGCTTCCTAGCATTTCGTACCGAAGCAGGGTGAACTTGTAACTCCATCGAATCAGTCAAACAATTGGGCAAAGTCATCACTGGCACATCTGCATTCACAGCCCTCTTCAATTGAGACACGTGAAATACTGAATGTATTCGGGCATAATTAGGGAGTTGCAATCTATAAGCAGCTGGTCCAATCCTTTCCACGATTTCAAAAGGTCCATAAAACCTTGGACTCAGTTTCTGATTGAGATGTTTAGCTAATGATCTCAACTTGTATGGTTGGATCTTCAAATATACCTGATCACCCACCGAAAATGTCACATCTCTTCTACCTTTATCAGCCTGCATCTTCATTCTCTCTTGTGCTTTGCATAGATTTTGCTTCAATTCCAGCAATAATGCATCACGAGCTGCCACCCATTGATCAACCGCAGCCACTGAGATGGGCAGTTTGTCGAACTGAAAAATGGTTGGAGGATCTCTTCCATATAAAGCTTTGAATGGAGTCATCCTTGTGGACCTGTTGTAAGAGCTGTTAAACCAAAACTCAGCCCAAGGAATCCACTTAGCCCAACTCTTAGGGTGACTACTAGCAAAACACTGCATATAAGTTTCCAAAGTGCGGTTCACCACTTCCGTTTGTCCATCCGTTTGGGGATGGTATGCTGAACTAAACTTAAGGTGAGTGCCTGCAGCCTTAAATAATGTTCCCCAAAACTTACTAAGGAATAACCTGTCCCTATCCGATACTATGGATTTAGGGAATCCATGCAACCGGATGATGACACTCACAAACAGGTCAGCTACCTCTTCAGCAGTAAATGGATGTGTGAGAGTGATGAAGTGAGCATACTTTGTTAACCGATCTACCACCACCAGTATAGTATCCACCCCCTGGGACTTAGGCAACCCAGATATGAAATCCAAGGACAAATCTTCCCAAACTTGATCTGGAATAGGTAAGGGATTTAACAATCCAGCAGGTAATAAACTTTGGTACTTTTGCTGTTGGCACACCCCACAATTCTGTACAAACCTTATAACATCCCCCCTCATTCCCTTCCAATAAAGCAATGCAGAAACCCGCTTGTAAGTGCGGATTTCTCCCGAATGCCCTCCCCAAGGAGACGAGTGAAACTCTTCAAGAATAGTGGGAATAAAAGTGGAAGAGCGAGGGAGTACCAACCTGTCCTTGTACCACAAGCAACTCTTCGTCACATGATAACTCGGGTGAGAAGAGCTGTTATTCAAGATCTCAGTGATCATCTTCTTAATTCCAGCATCTGCCAAAGCCTCATCAGAAAGCTTCTGCAAATCCGAACTCACAGGTGTGGACATAACCTTGCATTCCATCATACGGGATAGTGCATCCGCGACCTTATTCTCCAAACCTGGTTTGTATTGGATCTCGAAGTCAAAACCCATAAGTTTTGCCACCCATTTATGTTGTCCATCTATCAACACTCTCTGCTCAGTGAGGTATTTTAAGCTCCTCTGATCAGTTCTTACTATGAAATGACGACCCAGCAAATATTGTCGCCACTTTTGTATAGAAAAGACAATAGCCTTGAGTTCCTTTTCGTAAACAGAGAGCATTTTATCCTTCTCAGAAAATGCTTGACTAAAATAAGCAATAGGTCGACCATGTTGCATGAGTACCGCTCCCATACCTACCCCTGAAGCATCAGTTTCCACAATGAATTCCTCATCAAAATTAGGCAATGCCAATTCTGGCAGGGACATCATCACAGCCTTTAGTTCATCAAATGCCCCTTGAGCTGTCACATCCCAAGCAAATCTGTCTTTCTTAAGTAATCTAGTCAGGGGGCTGGCTAAATGACCATAATTCTTCACAAAGCGTCTATAATACCCGGTAAGACCCAAAAATCCCCTTAACCCTTTCAAGGACAAAGGAACCGGCCAATCTTTAATGGAAGCTACCTTAGAAGAATCTGTCTTTACCCCTGTTCCGGAGATCACATGGCCCAAATACTCCAACTCCTTCCTTCCAAAACTACACTTCTTGAAATTTGCCACAAAGCAATTTTTTTGCAGTACCTCCATCACTTGACATAACTGAGCCCAATGAGAAGATTCATCCGCACTGTATATGAGAATGTCATCGAAGAAGACTAGGACGAACTTACGGAGAAATGGCTTGAACACCTCATTCATTAAGGATTGGAATGTCGAAGGAGCATTCCTCAAACCAAACGGCATCACAAGGTACTCATAATGGCCCTCATGAGTCCTAAAAGCCGTCTTCTCAATGTCTTCTTTCCGCATACGGATTTGATTATATCCCGACTTTAGATCCAGCTTAGAAAAAATCGAAGCTCCTTCTAACTCATCCAGCAACTCATCTATCACTGGTAATGGGAATTTATCAGGGATGGTCACCCTGTTCAAAGCCCAGTAGTCAACACAAAATCTCCAGCTGCCGTCTTTTTTCTTGACTAAGATCATAGGACTGGAAAAGGGGCTAGTACTGGGTCGGATCCACCCCACCAACAACATTTCCCTGACAAATTTCTCCAACTCCCCCTTTTGGTAATAAGGGTAGCGATAAGGCTTTAGATTTGGAACACTGGCCCCTTCCTTCAGAATGATTCTGTGATCACAGGTTCTCTCCGGAGGTAAATCGGTTGGTTCCCTAAACACCTCAGGGAATTGGTGCATGACCCTTGAAGTCAACTCAATAGATTCCTCCTCCTTGCCAACATTGGTACTCACTACCCTCAGATCTACTAAATAATTTTCCAACCCCTTTTTCATGGTCTTACTAAGCTTCTTATAAGAAATAAGCCCTCTGGACAATTGAGGATCTCCTCGAAGCTCAACAATATCTGATCCATAAGGCACCCTCAAGAAAAGCTCGCGGAAATTAGCCCTTATCTCCCCCAAACCCTCCAGCCAGGTGTAACCCAGAATGACATCCTCCCCCTCCAAGTTAAATATGAAAAAATCTTGAGTTATTGACATACCTGGGAGCTGTAATAACACTCCCTTACACGTTCCCATGCATCGTACTTGATTCCCATCACCCACCGTGACCGTGGGGGATTCGGTCTTGTTCACCAGAAGCTTTAGATCGTCAGCTACATGTGGTGCCAAGAAATTGTGTGAGGCTCCTGTGTCAATCAACACCACAACCCTCTTGCCCGCGATCGTCCCCCACAACTTCAAGGATCTACTGGACGTAAGCCCAGCAATACTGTGGAGACTCAATTGAAGGTTCACCCTTTCTTCAGACGACTCTCCGTTCCCCAAATCGAGTTCCACGTCCTCTGTGTCTCCCGTTCCGACCATCATAACATTCAAATGAGCCTGGGGGCACACGTGATCGAAGGAATATGGTCCATCGCACTTGAAACACGTGTTCCGGCGTCGTCTATCCGCAACCTCCTCCGGTGACAGCCGTCGGAAGCGAGCGCGACCACCGTTGCCGCCGTTAGAGCTCCGTCCGATTGTACCGCCGTTGCCCTCATTAGGGTTCACAACCCCACTCGTGCCCTGATTCAGATTTGGAGTGGAAGCCCCACTTTCACTACCCTGGGTGCCATTATTTTGAGTTAACGGGCTTGTCACGTTTGGCCCACTAGTGGAGCTCCTCACATTGAAACTCGAATGACGACTAGGGAGAGCAGGCCTAGAATAGTGTGGGCCATTGCCAGCATTTGGCCCAAACCTCCCACTCTCCTGACCCAATTTCCCCCTGATCTCCTCTCTCTCCTCCACACGCTGAGCCATCGTCATCATCGTGCCCAGGTTCCTCAAATTATGCAATCTGATTTCCGCGCGAATCTCTTCACGGAGGCCATTCAGGAACGCAGCTTGCATAACATCTTCGTCTGCGTGTCTCAACGGGGCTGAAAGCAACTCAAACTTTTCACGGTACTCCGCAAACGATCCCTGTTGACGAAGACACATTAAATCTTCGTAAGGATTTCCAGAAGATGATGGATGGAATCGGTCCAGAATCGCTGCACGAAAGTCAGCCCAAGAGATGGTTGGGTTCCTTTGCTCCCACCACTGGAACCAGCTGAGTGCCCTTCCTTCCAAGCATACCGACGCGGTCTCCACTTGCTCGCCGATAGGAATCCTAAAGATTCGAAAAAATCGCTCGGCCCTGTACAGCCAGCCATAAGGATCATCTCCAGAGAAATAAGGAACCTCTACTCGCCTTCTCCTTTCGTATTCCCTAGCGTTTCCGTCCATGTCACCACCCACTTGGTCACCTCTCACTTCTTCCTCACCCTCCGTTGTAGAGCGTTTGCCAGGGCTCCTCGATCTTCCTCCGCCCATATGATTGAGTCGTGCTAAAATCTCCGTAAGGGTACAGTTCACCTGATGCACCGAATTTTCTAACCCTCCAATTCGCCCCGTCAAACCCACGTTGCTCTGTTCCATAGCCATCAGCCTCTGTTCCATATCATCAACTCTTGTCTCCATCCTTGATCGAACCATTCAACGCACTTGCAGGATCAAGTGCTTTGATACCAATTGATGGCACCAGAAGATTAACAGATAATAAACAGGAAAATATACTAAAACTTGAATTGCAATTGAGTTCTTACAAACAGTGATTAACGCTCAACAATGAAACAGTACTCAGAATGGACTACTGACAACGGACCGCTTGAGACACCTTGAAGGAAATTACAAATACTGAACCAGTAAAATACTCAGCTACTAACAATGGTTACTCTCAACGAGGAAGAAAACCCCACTCCCCATCAAGCTACCCATACTTTTCTTACAAACTTTCTAACTAACTTCCCTTACTCCCTTTTTCCTATTTAGCCACTGATTCCCTTCTCCCATTCCCCTCCCACATGGTATGCCCCATTCAACGCTTGCCACGTGTGCTCTTTTATAACAAACTCTCTTGCAGTGCTTTTCTTCTCAACAGCCAGCACTATCTGTTTCACCAAGCCTTGGCCACCCGAAGAAGCAATGGGCTGATGTTGATCACCCAACGAATCTGCCATGGCCTGCACATTTACTGTCATGGGCTGCTTGTCCGAATCTGTCAATGCAATGGGCTGATCACTATGGCCTTTGCCTTTATTCTGCTTCTTCCTACGTTCATAAACCCATTTTAGGGGTCCAACATTCTCTAACTAACTAACTCCCTACTTTCAGGCCCATCAGTATGAAAATGATACAGATTTGTTAGAAATGCCTCATAACTAATCATGGTTGGAGTGAGTCAGTGAGAAAGTGGCAAGGTTTGAAAAGTAAATGAGTAACTGAAAAAACTCAACAAATATTTTTCACTTTTATGAGTTTCTCTTTTCATTAGTCTTTTCACGAAAACACATTCTTACCATTTAGCATTTTTAAAAGATTTAACGGGCAAAGTAGGTTTAAGTTCTTAACTACTCCTAAATTTGCGGAGTTTATACTTGCAAGAATAACAAAAATAAAAGGCCTGCTCAACAGATAAATACAAAATTTTAAATCTGAAGTATCTACTACGAGGTAGTTAATTGGGTAAATTTACAAATTCAAAAACTGTAAGCAAAAGAACATGATCAAAATTTCTAAGAACTTAACTATAGTATCCTCATCTGATTTTCATAAACAGTTCTAGTTATACACTAAAGAGGAACTGATAGCTCTCAGTATTTACCTAGAGATGAAATTAATTACTTGTAAGTCCTCTTCATATAAATTCTAATGCATAAGGCATCTCAAACGATAGTGTTAGTAACATTAATCACTCAAGATTTTCTTATTTAAAAGACTGTTCCATTCTATGTCGTAAAATATATATATATATATATATATATATATATATATATATATATATATATATATATTTCCAGTTTTACCTCAGGTTTCAAGTCTCTATGGATGATGCCGTGAGAGTGTAATACTTGTAGACCAGAGCCTGCACCACACAATTCAATTTGTGTTAATTGCCAAGCTAGTAAGCACCAGAATCAGAAGCAATATTTCAAGATGATAGAGAATGCAGATAAAAAATAACCAAGCTGCTGCATGAATTTTTTAGCTGTTTGTTGTTGAACTCTCCCATGGCATCGAATATAAGAAGCCAAATTCCCTCCAGCACAAAACTCCATGACCAGGTACACACATTGATCAGCCTAACTACCAAACAACAAGCTTCAACCAACGAACAACATGGAAATCAACATTACCCATAAAAAAAAAATTATACATTTTCAACATATTCCATCATAAGACCAAAATTAACAAAAAGGGTAGGAAAATAAAATGGAAAATTATCCACCAGAGCAATGAAGATTGGGAAATGAAATAAAAACATTAAAAAAAAAAGAACAGAACCTGGAAGAAGTGGAGAAGGCGAATAATATTGGGATGTTTAACAGAGGACAAGAAATTGATCTCGCAGTCCAAGCAATCTTTGAGGTGACGGTTTAGTTTGGAGAGAAAAACCTGTTTCACCGCCACCTCTTCACATCTTGGTCTCTGCTCCGCTTTCCACACTGTTGAGAAAGAACCCTCTCCGATTTTGGATTTCAAAACATAGTAATCTTTTCCCACTCCAAATTCTACCACCCTCGCCAATTTTCCTTTGCTTTCACATTCCATTCCTGTTCAAATGTTCAATCCAACACATTCACAACATTCATTTTCACACCCTTACTGGTTCCCAATCTTTCTGTACCACATATGTTCTGTGTCGAAGGTTATGGAACTTGTATGTAATGCTGTCTCTCTCTTTGACATACACGTGGAATCTCATGTTTCTATGTTACCAGAGATTATAAAAAGGATAATAGTTTTATCATTTAATACGATAACTATTATCTCTTACATGTTCATTTATATGTTCAAGAAAAAGAGAAAAAGTAAAGTGAGATCCTTGAATTTGCTTTAAATTTGTGTGTAGATTTTTTCTTAATAAATTCACTATAAAAGTGGATAAATGTATACAAATTCATATTCTATATTCAAAATTTTAAAATATTATAATATAATCTAACAGAATTTAACAAGTACGTGTACTAAATTCTAAAAATTTAACACATAATTAATCAATCAAGGTTTTTATAATTATTTGACAAATTTATTAAAATTATAAATAAAAAATAAATAAATCATTGATATATTTATTTATATAATAATCGATTTTTTATTTTTGAAAATATTTAAATAAATTTATTAGTGTATAAAAATGGATGAAGTATAAGTACGAATGTTATCTTGTTTTCTTTTTTTATTTACGATCAATTTTTATGTCAAGACTATAGTGATTCAAAATTCTGAATAGAGATAAAAGAATACAAATTTAATAAGCAGAAAATACAACTTTATAATTACTAATTTTAATCTTATTTAACAAGAAACAAGATAAAAATAAAAATAAATACAACTTTATTTATTTTTAATATTCTAACAAAAGATTACACAAATTATAAGAAAATGTTGCCTAGAAATGAGACAAGGGTGAGGACAAGTATAAGGCAGATAGGAGAGAATATAGGGTTCATAAACATGACTGGTGTATTATGCAACTTAGATCAATTACATGACTGGTTCATTGATTCTTATGATTCGAATCAATGATTTTCGGCAAATTTTTATAACACTGCTTTATTCATCGACTGCCAAAACTGTATTATATGAGGCCAACTTAGTTTACCCAATACTCCATTAAGGCAGAGCATTAAGGCGACCCAATCGATCCAATCAAGACGGAGTAATTGACTTAGTATTAATAAATTTCCTTCTTGTTGTAATCAATTTAGCCCATGCATTGGGCTTAACCTAATTAGTTTGAGTTTAACCTAACCCAATGTCGATTGGATGTTTTTATTGGGTCAACATAATCTCAGCCCCGGTGATGACCCAACGACTGCTCATATTTGAAATAGTTCGACTTGATATTTAGATAAATTATACAAATTTTGACATTATGAATAGTCATGAAAATTCATAATTAAAATTAAGAGATGTTTTATAATATGTTCTTTGAAATGATTTATGTCAATGTAAATTTTGGTATTGATTATATCAATATAATTATTCAAATGTACAAGCGGTTTCACTTTGCCCCAAAGATAGACATTGATGTCCCATCCATGGAAAATGGGGTATCAAATCTAGTACAATCTCAATGTTTTCTCAACCGTTAGACATTGGCCAGGGTTAACGGTGTTGGGTTTTGGTCTTTCACTAAAGTTTAATAGGATTTAATATGTAAGAAGAGCTCAAGAAACCTAAAGCTCATTCAGCTTAGGGCTAGGGTTTCTTGGAATCTATATATATTCTACACTTATAGTCATCAACCTAACTAGTCTTCACTTGTAGTTGTAGAGGCTGAGGTAAGGTCATCTCCCTGAAAATGAGAGAATGTCCACACACTTCCTATTTCCCCTTTAGACATAGTCTGGAAGATTTGTCACTGTCCAGCTTCAAAGAGGTTGTTTGTGCTGTGGTGCTGAGGTGAGTACGTGAAGAGGAATCGTACATGCGAAGATTCTGCATGAGATATGCGCACCAAGAGGTAATTGTGAAACGATGATGATTCGATAAGCATACCAATGTACTAGGTCCTAAATCGCTTTCGCATAAATCCAATAGTTTCTACAAATTGGTATCAGAGCCTTGGCTGTACATTGGTATGTGAATCTAGTTTCGATTTTCATGTAATTAGTTTTATTTCACGAAATATGACACCAAGAGTTTCTATGTTTAATGGTATGAATTTTGCATGAGTATCATTATAATTCCTTTCATTACAAATCAATTCTTTATTTGGTTTTGGCTTTAATCCATGGTAGATATTTTTTGTATTTTCTTGGGTTGTAACAAGTAGGGGTGTTCGTGGTCTGGATTGGATCGGTTTTGAAAGTAAAAATCATCTGATCCAATCCTTTCGGTTTGATCATGTAATCATCCATTCGGTTTGAAATTTTTTTCAAATCCAATCCGATCCACATTTATTCAGTTTGGATTTGATCAATTTTCAATTTTTTTAAAAGTCTAAAATTTGTATGATGATTATTGTGCAAATAACATATCTTTTGTATATATTGGCTTTGTAAAGTTTGTATGATGATTATTGTGCAATCTAGAACTATCAGTAAACGATAATCTAATTTTCAATATATTATAACAAAAAGTTGAATTATCTTTTTTTACCTCCAACAAAAAATTTACAATGTGGTTTCCTGAGATACAGAAACCCAAATTTTTATCCTACAGAGAAGCTGTTGTACAACAATAATTCATGTAATAAAAATATATAATGTAGCCTACAAATATATATATATATATATATATATATATATATATATATATATATATATATATGGCATGAAAGGGGACAGAATTACGAGAAGAACGATGGGGCAAATTCAACAATTATATGCCCAAGTAGAGGGGGCAAATTTCCCCCCACCGCCCCTGCCATTAACTCGCCAAAAAACGAGTTAGTATACCTGCATCCGCCCAAAAATGATCCAGCAGGCCTCGTCTCACTTTTGAGAGTAGGCTAAAAAACTCGATTCACCGGGTCGAACCTGTTTTGCCGGTCCTATGCCCAAGTCTAATTAATTTAAGTAGTGTTGATATTTTTTTACCATCCTTCATAATTGACCCATTAAGATGGCCAACTAAGCATAATTTGTCCTAAAACAACTGGGAACCCAATTGAAATTGAGCCTTGAATTTTTCTACTTGGGCTTAACATTTGATCTCTTAATTTTAATCAAACTCAACATATTTGCTCTTGCATGCACTAAAGCAATAAGCACCCGTTAGGATGAACTTTTTTTTTCCCCCAAAAATTGCATTTTTTTTATAACAAAGCATTTCTCACTATAAATTTGTTTGAATGTTTGCTTTACAAAAACAAAAAATCACAAAAACTACTTCTTTTGGAAGCTAAAAATGTTAGCTTTGAAAAAAAAAAACAGAAGTCTAAAGTCAAATATTTCTTTTTAAAAAACTAAATATTTTTAAAAATATAAATAGCTTTAATTTTTATAAAAAAATATTTTTAAAATAAACAAGACATAAAAGCTGTTTTTTTTTTTTAAAAAAAGGCCAAACAAATGGACTCTAAATCAATGATAAACTTTTATAATAACATCATATAATAAAAGTAAAAAATTGCATATACACTCTTGTAGTTTCGCAAATACTCGCAATTCATACGTCCGATATCTTTAATCAACGACGGACTTCAACTGTAGTGTTGTTTTAGCTTTTCAAAGCAATCAGTGAACTCTACCTCAACATTTGTCTAGAGATTATATTTTTTTGGTTCTATGCTAAAGCACTAAGCTAATTCATTTTATAATTTTCCTACCCGATGATAATGTCGACATGATGATGTTGCCATTTTTTTTATATATAATATGTGTGCAGAAATGTAGGCTCTCAATTTCTGTGATTAGAAGATGCTACAACTTTCAATAAAGTTTTACACGAAATACTTAAAGTTAAAATGACTTATTCATAAAATGTCAACATAAAATATTAAAAATGAGTAAACTAATTTAATCGTATTAGTTGACCCGACAAGTAAAAATAAAGATTAGTGATGAAATTAGACTAAAGAAATTTCAAGTGTTGGACAGGAGTTGAAAATAGTTTAATTAGCTCATTATCACAATATAGAATTAAATATTTATCCAGTCTGGATCATCCTGTCAGGTAAAACTATGTCATCTTGGATATTTTTATTTTTCTTATTTAATTGATTAAAAATAGATATCATATTTCTCTCTCTTCATTTATTATCATTGATCCACATTTGTATGTTTATGATTTTCCGACTAGACAAATTCTTATATACAGTCACTTAATACCCTTGTGTGTGTATTTTTGTTATTTAATTGATCGAAAATAGATATCATATTTCTCACTTCATTTATTATCATTGATCCACCTTTATATGTTTATGATTCATCGACTGAACAAATCCTTATATTCAGTCACTTAATACCCGTAGATATCATATTTCTCTCTCTTCATTTATCATCATTGATCTACCTTTGTATGTTTATGATTTTCCGACTAGACAAATCCTTATGACTTAACACTACTAGAAAAGTGTTTATATCGACGGAAATTTTCGACGGAAGAAAAATTCCGTTGAAATTATTGACGGAATTTTCCACGGAATCCGTTTTTCGTCAAAAAATTCAACGAAAAATAGATTCCGTAAAACAAATTCGACGGAAAAAGGATTCCGTCGAAACTTTTCGACAGAATTTTTTGGACTTTTCGACGGAATATTGATTCCGTCGAAGAAATTCGACGAAAAAGACTTTCCGTCGAAAACTTTTGAAAAAAATAAAAGAAAAAGGAATTATATTTTTTGGATTTTTCGACGGAATTTTGATTCCGTCGAACAAATTCGACGGAAAAGGAATTCCGTCGAAAACTTTTCAAAATAAATAAAAGAAAAAGGACGAAGAGAAATTCGAAGAGAAATTATTACCCACGAAGAGAAATTCGACGACTTCATTTCCGTCGAAAATTCCGTCAAAAAAATAGCATTTTTTTAGTAGTGTAATACCCATGGTGAATGCAGACAGTGGCAGAGCCAAGGGGCTAGGGTTGGGGCTGCCCCCCCAAAAGTGGATCTCATCATTCTCTAGTAGTGGACAAAGCTGATAGTGCAATGGCGGAGGAGG